GCACTGAGAAGGTTTTTCCAACACCAGCAACGCCGTTGGTCAGAACCACTCTGATGGCTTCATGTTGGTCAGGGAAGGCTTTGAAGATGTCCTGGCAGCTGATTGGAGAATCATGGAGGTTCTGGATCTTGGAAGCTCTCTCCAGCTGCTTCACCTCATGTTGGGTATTAACCTCTTCACTCAGTCCCTCGGTGATGTAGAGATCAGTGTAGATCCTATTGAGGAGGGTTCTACTTCCTGTTTCATCACTTCCTTCAGTCACACATTCACATCTCCTCCTCAGGCTGATCTTATGTTCCTCTAGAACCTGCTGCAGACCAACATCTGCTGAAACACAGAAGAAAAGACGACTGAAGGAAAAAAAACTGATACAGTGATAAAGATGGAACCAAATCATCTGGAACATCAGGAGGTGTTATCATTAGAAGGTCTCTTCCTTCACACTATGTGCTTCTAAACAATCTGATCTGTCCTCAGAACCAGAACCTTGTTAAATTGTCAGACAGCATATTTCTGCCTCTGTTTTCTGGCCTGTATTTGTTCACTGTCAGGATCTGATTTCCAAAGCAGAGAAAATGAAGAAATGCTGACAGAAACATGCAGCAGCTTTCAGCAACATCAACTCTTTAGCATCATGTCACCATTGTCCTCATCGGACCGGTTCTATTAGACCTTCTCCAACGAACACAGCAGCTCCAGAGGAGCCAAAGAAACAAAAAAGTTCCACAGCATTTTACAGCCTTAATGAAGGAAAATAGAGGAAATGATTTAACCTGCCAGAGAAACATCTCATTGGAGCAGCTAGTTTTCACATTTAACCCTTTAAGCCCCAGAATACTGCCACCACTATGAGCCTCTGAGGGTGGTGCTTTGTCTATCCTTTTACAACTTAAACAGAAGGTAAAAACTAAAACTTCTATTCTTTTCTCTAAATCCTTCAAATGTCTGCAGGTGACGATTCTCAGTCATCCAGGTCAGAGTCATTCCAGAGAAGTTAAAAAACAATCCACTGGACTTTGTTTCCAAGTTTGAAGACGTTTTGCTTCCCATCCAGGAAACTTTTTCAATTCAAAATGTGAGAAATAACGTTGAGTTCCAGGTTTTATAGAGTGAACCAATTACAAAGCTTTGTTTTGGTTTAGAAAACATGCAAACTGAACCTGATGAACGGGTCCACCCCTTAGGAATGAGGGTCGTTTGGGTTCTTTGTTACCCTGCAATGCCCCATACCTGTTTATATCTATCAGAGGCGGGTCGTTAGAGGGAATTGCTGGCCTGGCAGAACAGGCAGGGTCTTCAATTCCCCTTTAAGGGGGTGGGGGTTGCGATGATAGCAGGAGGGAATCAACTGTATCGCTGCATTGTTGGTTTTTGAAAGCTGAAATCCACACCCTCTGTTTACGGTTGGTTTTTCTTTCTTGACATAGATGGCTTCCTTCACGGTTCTCTCAAACCACCTAACTATATTATGTCACCATTTGTTTTTTCTTATATTATTCTGGTTTTACAGCACTATAAACAAATGACACGTCTTTCTCTGATGTGTCCTGGTGATGTACTCTCTGTACGTATCAGAGAAAATAACATATCTGAGCAGAACAGCTTTGCACACAGAGCTCTTTATGCATCAGCAGATTCAGGAGGTTTCTTTTCTTTCTTATCGTTATCAGAGAGTTCAGCTAACCTGGCTGTAGAAGCAGC